AAGACAGAACAAGGCATGTAACCAGATCTTATATATCAATATATCCCAAGGTATAGCCAAGAGCATTACTTGACTTTTCTCTCCCTTTTCTACGCTACCAAACAAAACCCATCAATCAAATTGAGCATACTCTCAAAAGCGTGGGTTAAAAGTATTCCTAGAAGACCACCCTTTTGGTAGTCAATTTTCACACTAAACAAACTTCAAATAAGAGATTTTTTTTTTTTTTTGTCATAAAAAAATAAGAGATTTTTTTTTCCTCCCAAACAAACTAAGAAATTTTCATGCTTATTTTCTTTTTTTAATGTATGAGAACAATGCAGTTAAAAAATATATAAATTAATAATCAAATTTGAGTACGTAACTTATTTTTAATTGAACTGTTCTATCACTCAACACGATGCACATACATAATTTTTTGTCCGGTATTCAAACTAAGATAAGTTTCTAACCTAACTTTCTGAATAGTGAAAAATAAATGCTGGTCATCATATAAATACATTAAATCTACAAATTTGTCAGGAGTCCAAAAATAAAGAAAATGTGCAGTAGTACAGTGGTAATTATGACCCATTTTCTGTTGTCTGCTATGAATCTCAAAGATATGCATGTTGATGTTGTGATGGAAGCCCATTTCCTGGCAGGGACCATTTGGCTGCATTTTGTCAGGTATCCATTACCTTCACGTTCTCGCAAGCAAAAATATAGATAGATTCATCCATAATCTACCTGCTTCATGACCATTGGTTATAATTTTTTGTAACAAATACTTACATCTTGGTAATCATTTTAATAGCAACTATTTTTCCCCTTTGACACAGTTAGGATGTCTTCTTCTCCGTCACTATTCTTTTTACGGTTTCTTTATGTTTGGAATAAGTTGTAGAGACTCTTTGAATTCATTGTATAGTTTTCACCTCCATTTTTGTGAGAGTTTTATTTGTATTGTTAAGACTTTTTTTTTTTTTTTTTTTTTTAAGTTTTATCTATTTTTTATCATTTTGAGTTTGCAATTTTAGTTGGGATGCCTATACTAGAGTTCTTTCGATCCTGCATGATCATTAGTGGAGGTAAATTGTCTTAATTTTGATGTTAAATCACTCCATTACTGTAATGGCCCTTTATGACTAGCTATTATTGGCACTCCAAAAACGTCATCCTACACTTCTTCGTATTTTTTGTAAACATATAAAAAGATAGAGAAATGGATGGAAACATTTTTAATATTGCAATTCCTTTAATAAAAAATATATATATATATATATGTAGTAGTTTATGCAACAAGATAAGATGATCATATTTTATCTGTTAGGCTCGTGATTCCGAATCTCTAACTAATGGGGCAACAAAAAGTTACTACAATTACCGCATATGAAAGTTATTTAAATCATGAGAAAGACAGAGAAAACTTTCTTTTGAGATATGTTTGATTTGAACTCTGAGGGTAACTAGGCCAATAAAGAAATGCTTTTTTATAAAAAAGTTAATTGCAATTAGCAAGCCTCCCTACTATTTTGAAAATTTCCCCCTTTTGAGATCTCCAATAATGTCCTCGTGCACCCCTTGCAATCATGATCAAAAATTTCTTATATGACATTGGGTTAAAAGTCTTATGTCGTGTTCTTGTTACTTTTTTTGACCAAGCCAAGCCAACCATGGAAAAAACTAGCTCATCTTCATCATTTAACTGTTTAAAAGCTTTAAGCTACATCATCCATGTAATTTCTTTTCAATTAGCGTTATCTTATTGAAATAACTTAAGAAGCATATGAACATACCTGAGTCGCATAACTCGTGCGAAAATTGAACCTAAAATCACGTGTGCTCAAATAGAGAGTATTGGACTAATCTAACTTTTTTTTTTATAAAAAAAAAAAATTAAGGGCCAAAATGTTAATATTAAATCAATCTAAACCCAAAAATCATTCGTAAACTATATAAATAACCACCCATTTATTCATAATTTGTGTGTTTGTCATTTATATACATGAATGAAAATTTTGTGTTTAGGACTTTTGAATTTTATTAAGTTAAAATGTTCATAAAAATAAATTAAAAGTCTGCAAACAAAAGTGAACTCAACAAAAGTTTTTTGAGAAAACATAATTGCGGTTAAAACAATTGTTAAGCAATTAATAAAATCAGGGATTCAAAATTTGAGCCTACCAATTGGGGAATAAAATAGTTTGAGTCCTATATATAGATGAATAGTTGTATTTTGAAAAGGAAACGTTGGTTTTGAATTAGGACTAATTTTCAAACATATCATATCAAAATTAGGAGATTCCAATTCGAATCCAAAAAAATTAAAAATTAAAAATCTCTTCCAATTCAGTTTCCAAATTTTTTGGAATTTCAACATTCATTCTAATTTGGATTATTGGAATTGTTTTTTTTGGAATTTTTGGAAAATATTGGAGCTTACATATGTTGGAAAATTTTGGAAAGCAGTTCAAAATTTTGAACATACCCAAAAATTTGAAAGGTTAAAATTGGCTGAAAATTGAAAATGCCTGTCAAAAGTCAAAAGAGACTATTATTATATGCTAGTACTTAAATGTTGTTATTTTTTTTATGGAGCAACCCGTTTTATGATGGATATACCAAACTTGAAACCTTCAATCAAATTTTTATTTTTATTTTTTGGAATTTTCAGAAATGTGAATTTTCAGATATTATATTTCATTTAGACGTGTCAAAATTGAAAATTTTCATAGAGTAATTGGCCGGAAATGGAATTTCTCCCATTCGAGAGGTGGTTGGTTCTTGTTGAAATATCAATTACAAGAGAAATTTTTTGGGGTTATTTACTCAAATGGTCCTCAAACTTATACCTGATTTACATTTTTGTCCATAAACTAAATTATTCATTCAAATGGTCCATCAACTCTATATTATTCAGTCCATTGGTCTTATCGTTACATTCTGTCAATATTTTCATTAAATATGAGGGCAAATTGATCATTTCGTACGTTAAAAATAAGTAAATACTAAAAAATGAAATAAAAAGCTCCTCTCTCTCTCTCTCTCTCTCTCTCTCTCTCTCCATTCCCCCATGATTATCACCCGCAAGCTCCAACCCCCAAACCCATCCCACAACCACCCTTCACCTCATGCCCCATGAACCCAGAACCCAACGTCTCCCCACCTTCCACCCTAGCCAACAAGTACAGAAAAAAAGGGAAAA